TGGGTTTATGAGGAATTATCAAAGGGGTATAAACTGCATGAACAAACTTATAATAAATTTAGGCTAATTATTATTGTGAGATTAATGACTTCAGTTTAATTGACTATAATTTGAAGTACATACCTTTCATTATGGATTCTCTGTTAACTTTCTAGTATTGATCCAAGCATTGAAACAGAGCCAGAAAACCTTTCTGCAATAATCATGACACTGGTGAAGACGATGAGAAATCAGGCGTAAAAATGGTTCACTACATGTGATTGTAACTATGTTTTTAATTAGGGTGAATGTATTAGTGATCATGATGATGAAGATATTGTACTGAGAGACTTATGAATGATAGTCACAAGTGTGGTAAAATAGTTTATTGATTATGTGTGTAATTGTTACTTTTCCTTAGAATTTTTGATGTGGAAGATTATTCTGGAAATATTAGTATAGTAGGTGCTCCTTTAATTCATATTAATTTATTAATTTAGCAAGGCCACTAGTATACATTCTATAGTTACCTTATCTCACTAAGTTTCAAGACAAGAATATCTTAGGTTTGTTTAATTTCATGTGAAAAGCTAAATTCATTATTCAGGTTGTGATGAACCGAAACTTTCTTGTTTAAAGCTCTTGTTAAGGTCAGTCTAATCATAGTATTTTAATTTACTATCATCATTTGTCATTATAGTTCACTTCAAATAGCATTGAATTTTTTTGTGAACCTGCCTTCATCATGCTGGTTAAGGAAGGTATGTAGTTCCTTTGCTTATGTAGAATTTATACCTCATTATAGTTATGTTATGGAACTAAGCTTTGTAGGACTATGTGTGACAAGATACCTTTGAAAGATCTGCTTCACTACATGGAACCCAAGAGTTCATTAATGTTGGAGATTTTGGGAAATTAATTTCTCAGTAATGTAAGTTTATTAATTTTAGTGCCTTCTTAATTTATGGCTCTTTAGGTGTCTTAACTTACAAAACATGAAGTGTCTTACTTGTAGAACATTGGTAGACTATGATGAAGAAAACAATTATAATCTTTTTTTTGGTTTTAATAATAATTCCAAATCATTTTAAATTAACAATGAATAATAATTAGGTATTAATTAAGCATAAGCATAACAGGAAGTACGCCATAATGAATATCGTTGTCGGATCAGGCCTGGCACCAGCATAAATCGTGGCTGATTCGTCAATATCGGATCAGGACATTGCCCCCAAATCCTCGGTCCAGGCTCGATCATCGGTGATAATTCAGGCCTGTATCAGGACTGGTCCATGTTCCAACTCTTGGGCGTGTAGTTTACTCG